CCGCTGCAGCGAGAGCACCAAGCGGAAGCTGGCGCCCGCAGTCTGAGGCTGGAGCGCCGCCCCCAGAGAGCGCCCCGGCCCCTCCGCGCCCCCGTCTCCTCCCTGTGTATGCGTGTACTATAAGCCTGGCGTCGGGACGCCGAGGGCAGCCCGGGCCCCAGCCGCAACGACTCTCCGCCACCCTCAATAAATGTTGCTTGGAGTGGAAAGCGGCTCTGCAGAGAGGCGGGACGAACTGGGCTCCGCTCTGAGGGGGTTTCTAGAACGAGGCTGTGAGGTCGGCTGGGGGGAAGTTACAAGAGCCGAGGTCCGGTTGCCTAGGCTACTGCCTGGGCCCATGACAACAGGTTTGCCCAAGGCTAAATGCAAGAATTCCCGTCCCCTTCTGCCCATTTACTTGGACAGAAACTGCCTGCTCGGGCTCTGGCCGAGGAGTCCTGAAGATGGGTGGACACAGTGCAGCAGGCAAGGCTGACCTTGCAGCTGACGCCAAAGAAATTACTTTAGGTATGGGGGTGTCCGCTGATTCTTCACTGAGACCCTCCTCCAGTTGGGAGGTTGCACCAGAAAGCAAATACCCCCTGATGAACCGATCCTCATCACTTACCCCAGCATCGCTGCCAGCCTGTGGCCCCAATGTCTTTGCCGGTGGGCCCTTCCCCAAATGCAGACACGGGTGCAGCCTCGACCTGCTGGGCTCCGGCGAGCCTTCCGCCTCAGCCTTCCAAGTAGCTGGAACTACAGGCGTGCGCTACCATGCCCGGCTAATTTTTTGATTGATTGTAGAGATGAGGTCTCTCCAAGTTGCCAGACGGGTCTCGAGCCCGCGGGCTCAGGCAATCCACTCACCTCGGCCTCCCAAGGCGCGGGATTACAGGCTGAGTCACCGGGCCGGCCCAGCTGCAAATCTTGAGTGGCCCCTCCTATGTCGAAGTGGCTATGCGAGGACGGGCAAGGCCAGTCCCCTCAGACATAAAGGATCGAAGAGGGGCGAATACCCGTCCTGAGAATAATCTGACCGTCAAAGGACTGACAGCAGCCTTGAGAAAGCCATGGGAGCCCGTAACAGGCTCTGTTGCAGACCTTTGCTTGCGGTCTCAGTCCAACCCCAAGGGCTAGCGTACAAAGCTGGGGAGAAATTAACCACCAATCCCAACCTCTCCGCTTGTTCAGCTGCAGTTGCGACCTTTTAAATGAAATACAGTAGAAGATAAAGTACTTTTCATACTTCATGGGTCAGGTTTCACTTTGTTGCCTAGGCTGGAGGGCGGTGGCACAATCATGGCTCACTGCAACCTTGAACTCCTGGACTCAAGTGATCCTTCCACCTCGGCCTCTCAGGTAGCTAGGACTACCAGTGTGCACCACCATGCCCAGGTAATTTTCTTGAATTTTTGTAGAGGTGAGGTCTCGCTGTGTTGCCCAGGCTGGTCCCACACTCCTGGGCTCAAGCAGTCCTCTCACTTTGGCCTCCCAAAGTGAGCTGGGATTACAAGCTTGAGCCACCGCACCTGGCTTTTTTTTGAGTTGGGGTCTCACTTTGTCAACCAGACTGGAGGGCATTGGTAGGATTACAGCTCACTGCAGCCTCAACCTCCTGGGCTCAGACGCTTCCACCTTAGCCTTCTAAGCAGCTGGGACTACAGGTGTGCACCTCCACTCCTGGCTTTTTAAAAATTTTTCTGGGCTCAAACGATCTTTCCACCTCAGCCTCCCAAAGTGCTGGAATTACAGGCATGAGCCACCGCACTTGACCTCTTTTCATAATTTTAATTTTGTTTTATTCCAAGTTGAAGATCAGATGTTTTCCCATGTTTTTTCCCCTACATTTTTGGTCCCCTCAAAGTGGCCCTGTGCTGGCACCAGGTGGGTGTGGTGGTCAGGAAGGCATGCCCACAGGGAAGGGAAAGTGGGTGGGCATGCCTGAAAGTGCCGGCTCTGTCTGCTCAGTCAACAGTCTCCTTGAGGCAAGGCCTAGTACACAGAACCCGGTCAGGTAGGTGTTTCATGGATGAGGAAGCCAGAGCCTGGAAAGTTTAGGGGCTTTTCTTTCTGATGCCCAAGTTCTGCTGGACCCTGCGCCCGATGCCGACCCTGCAGAGCTCATAAGCCACGGGTCAGGCCTTGTGGTGGGTGCTGTGGCTGAGGAGAGCTCAGAGGGAGCGTGGGCACAGAGACATGCGTGTGTGAGGGGCGTGCTTCCAGGGCCCTCCATGGACCCCTGGCCCCCGGGGCCTGTGTCGGAGGTCAGCCCTTTCCTCTGCCTCTCCTGGGATGGAAGGCAAAGTCTTGGGACAGATGCAGGACAACCCCCACCCCAAGAACTGGCGGAGACCCACCAGCTCCACCCCGGCTCCTGGGTACACCACTGTCAAGTGCTCCCGTTTGCAGATGCCACGTGGCTGTGCCTACTGAAAACCACCCACACCATTCAGTCATTCCCGGTCCCACGAGGGACAGTGCGGGTCAGCGGCCACTGTGCCTCAGGCATTCCTGGTCCCAACACACATTCCAAGGGAAAGAAGGAAAGCGGGGCCTCGAGGTGACCCAAAGCCAAGGAGCTCCACGAAAGGCCCAGCCAACAGAAGGCAGCCAGGCTGAGCCCTGCGTCCTTTCCCTGTCTTCGGGTGAGCTAGCCACCTGAAGCCACATGGCAGTCGATGAGCTGAGGCTGCGGGAAAGACATCTGCCAGGCCTCCCTGTCAGACACAGCGGCCCCTTAGAAATGAAGCACATGGACTTTGGAACCCAGGTTGGATTCCTGATGACTCCTAGAATGGCTGTGTGGCCTCAGGCAAGCCACTCACCTGCTCTGAGCCTCCCCGCTGCTCTATCAAATGCGAGGTCAGCTCTTTTCCTGCCCCAGGGGTGCACCTCGGATCCATGGTGTCTTCCCACCAGCCCCCATTATAAACCAGCCTCTCTTGGAGCCCGTCTCCAGAAGAGCTCCGCGCTCACAGACCCCACCCCTGTGTCTGAGGACAGGCTCTTGGGCTCCACTGGTGCAGGTGACGCCAGCCTGGAGGCTGGTCTCTCCCTCCTGCGCCTCCCATCAGTTTGATCTAAGTCCTTTCTCCACTGCTTCCCGAGTGAGCCATTAGGTCAGGGTCTTCAGCCCTCCTCCACTGTGATCAGATGAGTCGCCCCAATCTAGAAAGCACTCACAATTTGGGGTCACCAATCCCGGTGACTAACAGCGATTATGAACGCATCTTCTAGTGACAAGCCTCCAGGGGAAAATGCTGTAAAGGGACGGCGCCGAGACACAAAACTGGAAGACGAGCAGTAAACTAGATGAAAGCAGCGCATCGGTGTTCGATTCACTGAAGCTGGCACTTCAGTCCCTTGCAGATCCTCAAAGACATTCACTCATACACACACATCGTGGGCACTGAAGATAGACACACACACCGGAGGGGGGGGGAGAAAGTGAGTACAGCAAGTCCCCTACATACGAACGGGTTCCGTTCAAAGCGCGCGTTCGTAAGTCCAGCAAGTTAGCCTGGGCACCCGACGAACGCGATTGGCAGTGTAGCGCTGCACTGTGATAGCTTTCACCCAAATAGTACATTTCCAAAACACACAAAAGATAAAGCAAGCATTTTTAATCTGACGGTACAGTGCCTTGAAAAGTACAGTAGTACAACAGCCGGCATCCGGGGACTGGCATCAAGCGAGCCGCAAAACAGTTACTGACCGGAGGAGGGGAAAGGGGGGGAGATGGCAGAGCTGAAGGATGGTCGGCAACAGAAGATGGAAGGCGAGCCGCAACCTCACTCAACTTCGCCTGACGTTGACGGCGCAGGTTCTGGTTCCTCACGGGATCCAGTTTGATCTACCTGCTTGAAAAAGCGATTCAGTGATGTCTGGAGAGTAGCTCTTTTTTGCTCGTCACAGACACGGTAGCACGGGACTGCATTCTGAACGGCGACTGCAGCTTTCAAGTACCATTCTGCCTTCAGGCCCTGTGCCCCAGACACTAGCAGTGCCCCCTCAAATACAGAAAGCCCCCTTGCCGTCTCCCAGGCCATGAGTCTCATCGGGTTCTCCACCTGCTGCTTCTCCCTCCTGTCTCTCTTCGTCCTTTCTCTGGGCCTCCAGTGCCATCAGGTCTTCGTTCGTGAGCTCTTCGTGTTGCACGGCCAGGAGCTCCAGGAAGTCGTCCTCTCGCAGATGGAGCTGCAGCTTCTCGCCGAGGGTCACTAGGTCGCTGAAGACCTCTTTGGACTCCGCATCCACCTTCTCGAACCCACGAGCGTCGTGAACAAACTGAGGGCAAAGGTTCTTCCAAACCCCGTTCATGGTGACGGCCGTGACCGCCCGCCAGGCGAAGTCAATGTTTTTTATGGCCTGGTAGATGTTATAGTCCTTCCAGAACTGCCGCAAGGTTGTTCCTGACTCGTCACTTGCCTTTACCGCCTGTCGGAAAGTGTGACATAAATAATGTTTCTTGAACGTTGCTATAACTCCCTGGTCCATGGGTTGGATGAGTGATGTGGTGTTTGGTGGCAGGTGTGCTACTCGGATGTTGGGATGGAAGTCATCCATGGAGGGAGGGTGGCCCGGGGCGTCGTCGAGCAGCAAGAGAATGTTGAATGCCACGTCCTTCTCTAAGCAGTATTTTTCCACCTCCGGGATAAAGTGGTGGAAAAACCAGTCCTGGAAGATGGCCTGTGTAACCCAGGCTTTGGGGTTACTCTTCCAGACCACAGGAAGGGAGCCCTTGGCTATGTTTTTAAGGGCCCTTGGGTTCTCCGAATGATAAACTAAGAGAGGCTTCAGCTTCATATCACCCGCAGCGTTGCCACCAAACAACAGAGTTAGCCTGTCCTTGGCCGCTTTATAGCCTGGCATCAGCTTTTCCTCCTTACTGATGTAGCTTCGGTCTGGCATCCTCTTCCAGTACAGTCCTGTCTCGTCCACATTGAAAACCTGCTCGGGTAAATACATGCCTTCGTCGATGATTTCGCGAAGCGTTTCGGGAAATTCCCGGGCAGCGACTGTGTCTGCGCTCACTGCCTCGCCACTGACTTTGACGTGGAGGTTGGCTCTAGCCTTGAACCGATGAAACCAGCCATGGCTGGCATTGAAAGATGCGCCCTCTGATTCTTCGCCGTGCTTCTTCTTCAAGTCTTCATAAAGGCTTTTGGCTTTCTCTTGAATCAGCATCAAGCTGAGCGGGACTCGACGCTGATGCTGGTCCTGCATCCACACGCTGAGAAGCTTCTCCATCTCCTCCATCACTTTCCCGCGCTTCTTTGAAATTATCGTCGACATTGGCACGGCGGACTTCATGTGTTCCATGATCTTGTCCTTGTTCTTCAGAATCGTGCAGATGGTCGAACGATTCATGTTATAAGAACGAGCGACATCGACCATCTTTTCGCCTCGTTCCACTCTCTCAATGATTTTCACTTTTGTCTCCATCGTTATTGCTTGACGCTTCTTAGCAGTACCGGCTACATCGTCGCTTTTACGCTTGCTTCTGGACATCCTGGGCTTGAAATAAAGATACAGTGAGTCCCCTGCATACAAACGAGTTCTGTTCCGGGAGCGCGTGCCTAAGTCCAATTTGTTTGTAAGCCCAACAAAGTTAGCCTAGGTACCCAGTGAACACAACTGGCTGTACAGTACTGTACCGTAGTAGGTGGATAATACTTTTCACACAAATAATACATAAAAACACAAAAAATAAAACATTTTTAATCGTACAGTACCTGAAAAGGTACGGTATACAGTACAGTACAACAGCTGGCATACAGGGGCTGGCATTGAGTGAACAGGGAAGAAGAGTTACTGACTGGAGGAGGGAGAGGATGACAGGGGGCGGCAGAGATCAAGGACTGTCAGCAACAGGAGACGGAGGGCAAGCTGCGATTTCACTCACGCCAGACACGTGAACTAACTTACGTGATTGGACATGCGAGCGCACGTTCACATCTTTGAACGTTCGCAACTTGAAGGTTCGTATGTAGGGGACTTACTGTAAATGAGAGAACAGGGGTAAAATGTTAACAAGATGACATTCTGGCTAAAGGGCATATGAGTTTTTTTTAAAAAACGATTTTTATTTTTGCAGTCTTTCCATAAACTGGAAGTTATTTCAAAATGTAAAGCTAAAACAAAAAAAGACAATCTCACACCTCAACCTACTTTGTCTCTTATAGCCTGTGCTGTTTTGGAGTTTTCCATTTCAAGCCTGACCTTTCTAGTTTCGTGTGAAGGCAGAGATAGCTAACATAGGAACGCTGTATTATATGGATATGTCTCCAGGTGTTTCTCCTGCAACTTGGAAACATGTTAGGCCATGTGGGAAAGGGGGGAGGATGCCTATGTGTGTATACATACGTCTCACGAATACCCCCATCTGCCCCACTGTCTTTCTCTGCTGACTGATTTGCAGTTCGAGATGCCAACCGCAAATCCACAGGAGAGCGGGCAGGTGACAGGAACGAACGAAACAAGCCAGGCGTAAGAAAAGTCAGCCAGCAGACATACAACGAAACCGTCTTGATCTTTACTGAACGGTGAGGCACGAAATGTCATACAAACAGGTACAATCCTGCAAACTGTGTTTCTGATTCAAAGTGGAAAAAACTGAAAAACGGGGCTCTTTAGTCACTCATTTTCTCATCTCGCAATCTCCTGGGCCTAGAAGATTCCAGCCTTACCCACCGTGGGGCCTGGCTGGGAGCTGTCCTCCATCATGTCGCGACGTGGAGCATGGACTCCCACTGCGAATCCTTCAACGGGGAGCGGTACTTGGTCTGACTCAGCTTCATGATGGAAAACAGCTGTTCGCAGACGTAGGTGCTCCCGAACATGGAGAGGATCTTCGCGCAATGGCTTCTGTATTTCGGGTAGCTGCTCCAGAGGTACTTGTAGAATTCCGGAACCCCCACCTTGTCGTACTTGGCCTTCAGGACCGTGTTGCACTGCAGGTCGATGACTTCCATCTGCAGCCCTTCGTGCACGCTGTCGATCTTTGTGGCGAACGGGGAGCTGAACAGGGTCAGCTCGCTCTCGCAGAGTTTGAAGTCAGACAGCCTCTTCTGGAATTCAGTCTTGAGCGCCGCGATTTTGGGGATGTAGCTCCGGCCGTCGCTCTCACTGGGGGAAACGGACTTCAGGGTGGGGAAGTGGGCCAGGTTGTTCCGCGCCAGGTGCGCCTCCCACAGGCACAGTTTTGCGAGGAAGGCCCGGATCACGTCGTACATCTGCGTGACGATCTGGGAATGCCCTTGGAGAGAGACGGTCAGGGTGTTCAGATGCGTCGTCATGTCCACCAAGAAGGCCAAGTCTCTGATCCAGTCTATAGAGCTCAGCTGAGGCAGGGGCTTTCCTCTGGATGACATGAACGAATCGATGTCTTCCAACGACTCAAAAAATCTCTTGAGCACCAGCCCACGGCTGAGCCACTTGATCTCCGTGTAGTACAGAAGGCTGCCGTACTGGCTGTCCAGCTCATACAGCAGGGTTGTGAACTCGCTGTGGTTCAGGCCACGGGAGCATATCCAGTTCACAGAGTTCACCACCACATCCATGACGTGGTCCATCTTTAACTTCTGCGCACAGAGTGAGTCCGGATGGATGATGCAACAGACAGACTTCAGTTCTGAGCCCTTGCAAAATGTTGCCACCCTGGATTTCAGTTTTGTAACCAGCCCGTGATTGGCATCTACCATGGTGGGAGTGCCCGTGGAGGCCACGCTTACTAACTTTGACCAGTCGACACTGAACTTTTTCAGACTTTTCTCAACCCGCAAAAAGATCTCGTTTCCAGATTTTGACCCTGTCATGGGCACTGTGTCTAGGAGTTCTTCAGACACGTCAAAATTCTCATCGACGCCACGGATGAATATGGCCAACTGGGTGGTGTTGTTTATATCCGTGATCTCGTCGATGGCGATGGAATAGGCCACGGATGATCTGATTTTCTCCCGTAACTTTGCCCACAGGTTCCCGGCCACATCTTCCACGGGCTGCACAGTGGCATTTTCCGGTGGACTCACCTTTGCCAACACTTGTTTTTGCTCGGCACACTCGAGTTCCGCTGACCCCAGGAGATACTTTCTGAGCCCTTTCTTGAGCTCCAGAAGCTTCTCGTCACGCATCTGCTCGGTGTACTGGTCGTAGTGCTTGCTGTGGTTGGTCTGGTAATGGCGCCGCAGGTTGTATTCTTTGGACACAGACATGCTCTGTTTGCATATCAGACACGTGGGAATGTTCTGCACTTCCACGAAGAAATAGGCTCTCTCCCACTTTTCTTGAAACACACGGCCCTCTTGGTCTATCTTTCGTTTTCCCACTTTTGACAGAGACATGGAGACAAGAAATACTCACTTTCTTCTTAACCCTACTGCTAGAAAAACAGCAGCAAACTCACGCCCACAGGCGAGGGACGGGACGGACCGCTGGGGCGGGGTGGGCGTGGCTAGCCGAGAGCAGCCCAGCTCGCAGGAGGCAGGAGGGACCGGCCCTCGGTCCCACGGGAGGCGGGGCGTGGCTAGCCAGAAGCCCAGGTCCGCGGGGAGGGGCGGGCCGGGCGCGGTTAGCCGAGTAGCCCCGCCTTGCGGAGAGGGGCGGGCCCTCGGCTCCTGGGAGGGGTGGGCGCGTTTAGCCAAGAGTAGCCCAGTCCGGCAGGGAAGGGTGGGCCCTCAGTTCCGGCCCACTGCAGCCAGAAGGGAACCTCGGCCCGCCGGGGCCAGATCTTCAAATTCTAAAGAAAACCTGGACACCGATTTTTAGGAAAGAGGGCCTGGCTTTTCCATGCGGGCCACGCATCCTCATTTTTAAAAGGCACATGAGCTTTTAAAAGGTGAGGTTCAGTGCGTAGCCATGTTTGCTAAATGTGGTTTAAACAGGAATGATCTGACAGCATGTCTACATTTTAGCATCGGTTTTTTTCTCATTTGATTCCCAAGAGAACTTTGAAATAACAGATGGGAATGAGCACAGAAGGCATGAGTCACCCTCTGTGCGTCGGTGAGGCCACTGATCCGCACAGAACTCATGCATATCACTGTGTTCAAGGGCCGATCGATGTTTTAAAAGTAAAGAACCTGCCCCACGCAGGGAAGCAAGGTACTACCGGAGAACAGATGTACAAGTGCCCCTAGGAAGATATGGGCAAGTCCAAACTGCCGGAAAGTCAATCAGTGGTGCCCTGGGGCCAGGGTGTGAGTAGGAATGACTGAACATGGTAGGATAAATTTTTTGGGGGGCACCAGAAATGTTCTCAAATTAGACAGTGCTGATAGCTGCACAACTCTGCACATTTACTAAAAATCACCGAATTGTATACAAGTGAATTGGATAGCATGCAAATTATGCCTCAATAAAGCCATTAAAAATAATTCAGCAATCAGATACGTCTAAGAATAACTGAGCGCTTTAAAAGCACACTTCGGTTTGCAAACTACATCAGGAGGTTCCCAGTGACTCCCACTCTTGAGAACACCTCTCCATCTGCTTGGCCGCCCTATGGGATACTGACTCACTTGGAAGGACTCCAGGGCAGATATTCAAAATATTTAACAAGCAGAGCTGCCAGGCACTGCTCCATCAGAACAAATGGGGGGGAGAGGTCTGGGAGCCTCTGCTGTGCCAGGAGGAATCCTTTTTACTTCAGCACTGTGGGGAGGTTGACTGGGAGTTGGGGGCAGCTAGGGGTGGGTGGGCTGGGTGGCCAGGCAGGCACTATTTAGCAACTACACAGCCGACTTCAGTCCTGTGATCTTGAGGGCAGCTGTGCAGTGGCCACGGGGGGGCCCTCGCCATAAAGGACACTCGACTGAGAGTATGCCACATCATATATCACACTCCAGATGTGATGCAGACTGAGCTCCATCAAACTGCTGTCTGAAAAAAATGCCTGGTTAATAAGACGCGGCAGAATCACAGAACTTTACAACATGCAGAGAACACAAAGTCACATCCAAGGCTAGAGAAGCAAGGACCCCACGGACGGGGCCCGAGACACTTCACACAGCAGAAGGGGGCTGGAACGTTCTCACCACACAGAATACTCACCATTACTGAGCTCAAGTCCTGGGAGTGGTCTGGAGAGAAAGAGACATTGGTCAGTGCAACAAAGCTCATCTTTCCTCGCTTGGTCACTTGGCTCTATCAGACACACTTTAGCTGGGTGTCAAATCTGTGCTAGGTACAGTGGGAGCTCAAACTGGGACAGGCTGTCCAGGACCAAGAAAAGGACCACAGATACAACTCCCAGAAACAGAGATGCTGAAATGAGCCTGAGAGGCAGCACCGCCCAGAGTTAACTGCAGAGACCCGCTCACCTCCCAGGCAGAAATTCCTAGGCTGCCACGCACCTACCTTGTGCACGTGACAGTCTCCAGATGTGTTCTCATGACCAAGCTGGGGGCTCTCACTTACCTAATGACTGTGAATTTAATGAACTCTGCTGCATCCAGGATCCTTCTCATGGAGCTGATTTCCAGGTAACCGGGGGCTTTGAATACCACCCCTGGGGGCATGCCATCAATCACCACACAGCCTGGGTTGAAGGTGATTTTCCTGTAGGGAACTTTCACAGGGAAATCCACGCCAATTGCTTCACCTGTGACGAGACCAGCAGCATGAAACTGGTCCCTTACTTTTCCCAAACCATGCTTTTTCTTTTTTATGTATATATAATTTTGATATAAACAGAGATGAGGTCTCGCTTTATGTTGTCCAGGCTGGTCTTGAACTCCTGGCCTCAGGCAATTCTCTCTCCTCGGCCTCCTACAGAGCTGGGAGTAGGGAGCCTGGACCATGCCTAATTTTTATTTTTATTTTTATTTTTTTTGAGTCAAAGTCTCACTCTGTCGCCCAGGCTGGAGTGCAGTGGCATGTTCACGGCCACTCCAGTGTTGAACTGCTGGGCTCCGGCAATCCTTCCGCCTCAGCCTTCCAAGTAGCTGGAACTACAGGTGTGAGCTACCACGCCTGGCTAATTTTTTGATATATTGTAGAGACGAGGTCTCACCAAGGTGCCCAGGCTGGTCTCAAACCCCTAGGCTCAGGCAATCCTCTTGCCGTGGCCTCCCAAAGTGCTGGGATTATAGGCTTAAGTCACCGCACCCGGCCTCATGCCTTATTTTTAATGTCAGGATTTTAGAATCATTCTTTTTAAATGACATCATTGGTGATCAGTCATTATTACTTTATTTCCTAGTGGTATTATAATGCGTGAACATAATTTTATTGATTTTGAAACTGGTGTGGGTAGTACAGCAGACTCAGTGTCTCCATCCTATCATCACAGTAGTTACCTAAAAGATTATTGTGAGGATTAAGTGATTAAACACAGCTCAAGCACAAAAAACAATATTCACTCAAGGAAGGATTCAATACTTCAAGGATAGCTACTATTACTAATATTATCATCAGTCAGTGCTTCCACGTAAAAAAAAAATCTTCAGTAAAAAGACACTAATTTTGATCAAAGCTCTTTCCCAAAAAGATCAAATTGTTATAAGTATTCTTTTGAAAAGAAGTATTCCAAATATATAAATTCTAGATATGCAATGATATAATAACTTACCAAATTTTCGGCTAAAGAGGTCATTGACTTGTTCTCTTAGCTGTTTAATCTTTTCAATGCTTGACAAGCTTTCCTTTGCATTATCTAAAAATAATTAAAAGGATAAATCAGGGTTATTAATGTGTTTTCTCCCAAGAAAGCTGTGGGAGGCTGGGGGTGGTGGCTCATGCCTGTCATCCCAGCACTTTGGGAGGCCGAGGCAAGAGGATTGCCTGAGCCCAGGGTTTTGAGAACAGCCTGGGCAACTTGGCAAGACCTTGCCTCAACAATAAATCAAGAAAAATTAGCTGGGTGTGGTGGTGCTTGCCTGTAAATCCAGCTACTTGGAAAGCTGAGGTGAAAGGATTGCATGAGCCCAGCAGATCGAGGCTGCAGTGGCTGTGCATGCCATTGTACTCTACCCTGGGTGATAGAGTGAGACTCTGACAAAAGGAAAAAAGGAAGGAAGGAAGGAAGCAAGCAAGCAAGCAAGCTTGGGAGGAAATACTGTTAAGCACTTAAGAAAGCACTCTACCTGGCTTGTTATTCAGTTTACTTAAAAACAAAATTTGTTTTGTTTTTGTTTTTTTTTTGAGTTGGAGTCTCACTCTGTCGCCCAGAC